TCTCTTCAAAACTGAGTGCTAATTAATACCGTACAAATGCAAAAATAACAATACCCTGCTGTTTTAGTGTCTGCTATGTGAGTTCCACCCTTGATCTTCCCAGGTGTGAAAGTGATCTCTGTTGAGCCGATGTCTCCACCTTCCATCTGTCCATCACATAGAGCACGAACCATTTGCAATCCAGACAGGTGCTGAGGCCTTCAAGTCAAGTACACTGTATTAGAACATAAAGAGAGCCTGGGCATGCATGCATGCATGATACAAAGGAAGCTCAGCGTAAGGTGATGCCTTCCTCCATCACAGGTTAATTAGCCACTTCTCCCTACTTGCCCAGGAAAAATAGCAGTAATCCCCCGACAAGCAACTGACAATTATTCTCAATTACGGCATCCCTTGTTTAGAAAGAATATTTCTCCAAGACTGAGAAAGGGGTGCCTTTTACCTAATTTCACAAGGCCTTTGGTTTCAAAATCCTTCTCTAGGCAATCAGTTCAGATTTCTGACATGTGTGATATATGTTCCTTTGATAGCAATGGGTTAAACAGAGAGACAGTCAAAAGGATGTCAAAATGAGAAAGGGAGGGCGATGATAGAGATACATGGTTCTACTTACTTTTGGTTCTGACTCCACCCACCATTTGTTTCAGCCCCACCCACCATGTGGGATGTACCTCCCAGTCACTTAGGACAGAGGTTCCCAACCTTTGGGGCACCAGGGACTGGTTACGTGGAGAGAGGTTTTTTTGCGGACTGGAGGGGGTGTGGTTTTGTGTGCTGACTGCATCCTGCGGATGGGGCTTTGTTTGTTTGTGCGGCCCAGTTGCTGGCATGCCACGGCCCGGTACTGGTCCACAGACCAGGGGTTGGGGACCCTGAGTTAGGAAATATGGTGCTATGAGAACTAAAATTAGTCTCATTCACTACAGTATAGCGCCATATGACCCTGTAGCAACTTCCAGGACAAAAGTATCACAGGAATTCTGTCTCCCAGAATTGAGCTTTGAGCTTGAAAGAGAAAGGAAGGCCAATGGCAGGCCAAAATTATTCCAAATGGATTTTTCCTTGCCCATTATCAACAAGGATAGAACCATCAATTGCACAGAAGTTTAAGTCATTTGATATATTATATAAGAATAGTGATATGATACGTTTTTATTTTTGTTAATCATTATATTTATTCATTACATATATTTTAACTGCTATTAGATTGCCACTTAGAGCCAGTTTTATGATGGAAACAGCACACAAGCCTGAGAAATAAAAATAATAATTTATGATTGTTGAAATGGCTTATAAGCTACTTTGATGGAATATGTGCTCTAAAAGGCAAAATATAAATAATAGTAAAAATAAAACAACACAATATGTGTGTAGAACCACATAATACAACATAACTAAATGCCATACTGCCATCATAATAGGATTTAAGCAAGCTGCTACACTTTTATTTATCCATAAATATATCTGTAGATATATATCTATAGATGAAAACAGATGAAAAAAGTTTTATAGCCACAGAAGCATTAGCCCCTTTGTCCTATTTCAGATCATCACTATTATATGCATAATAAGAAAAGATGCCCAAATGCCTATTCAAAATTAACTGAGGGAGCTTGTTAATTCTCTTTTTTACTACTCAGTCTAGACACTTTGCTTTGGACGTTAGGTTAGATCCTTCCATGAATCTGTCTTATAATATAGAAAGCAAATTCTGTCATTCTACTTGCATAAGAATTAAAACTATCAGAAATCAGCAACCTGGGAAATGTATCAAGAAGTTTCTAAGGGAGATTTTGAACTATGATGAAGAAAAGAGTAAATCAGAAAGTAAACATTTATATAGGAGAGTACCTAGTGGGAATTTATGTGGAAGAGGAGATGGTAAATGGATTTTATTTTAAAGTACGCCCAATACTTTATGCCACCTGTCCTGTGAGCATGAACATTCAGCATAAAATACTCAAGGGTATCACCTACAGCCATATATCCCTGGTAACAAAATTCATAAGATTTATTGGAATGCTAACTATGTACCAATCTATTTCTAACCTGATTTAGAATGTTAACTAGAAGATTCGGACATATAGATTAGAGAACAGTCAATACCGAACACTCCAATATTAAATAAGCTTTTCATATACAGTAAAGGATTGATTGCTCGATTGATTGATTGAGATCCAGCCCCCTCTCCCCCACTGCATTTTGAAGTATGAGAGAACAGGGAAAGCAAACCCATGGGCCTCCAGATGCTGTTAAACCACAACTCCTAATATACCTCACTATTGGTCATGCTTGGAGGATGCTTGGAATTTTAGTTTAGTAATCTTTGAGATTCACATGCTTTCCCTCATAGTCTGTGAAAAATACAGCTTTAAAACAAAATGAGAACTAAGCCTAAGAAAATAGCTTAAACCAGTCTAGCATTCCAACACCACCAACTTGAGAGTTGTTATGCTCAGGGCTTTTTTTCTCATAGAATGCCCAGAACGGAGTTCCAGCACCTTTTTTGGATGGAACCTTGTAGGGTGGGCAAGGCGGGTTGTATGACATGTGTGAGTTCCGGCACCTTTTTTTTTTTTATAGAAAAAAAGCACTGGTTATGCTTACAGATAGCAGCATCTGGCTGATGTTTCTGACTTTGGAAGCTAAAGAGCCTTGGACCTGGTTACTATTTGGGTCATCAGGCTGTAGGCTAGACAAGGATGTCAAAGGCAATGCCAAACCATCCACTTCCTTAAGGGAGTCTTTATCCTTAATAACCATCAGCAAATGGGTACTCCTTTGTAGCCACCATAAAACCTAAAAGGGTTTTGCAGATCAGTAATTTTTCTGAACTTCTTCACAAACCTGGCATAAACACGAGCTACAATGATCTGATAGCAGATTTTTTTCCTTAAGATTAGCTCGAAATTCGCTTTCCCCAAAGTTCACCAGGATTTACCTCAGACCAGGCTGACTCCTGCCAGCTCGGATATTTTTCACCTGCAAAGGTTTATTGAGCAAGCAACTCAGAGCTGTAGAAACCCTCAAGATCTGGCCACCCTGCAAGGAAAGCAGATGGTCATAAAATTGGAGCTGTTGTGAAAGACTGGAAAGCCGAACCTATGGCACGGGTGCCAGAGGCGGCACTCAGTGCCCTCTCTGTGGGCACGCATGCCATTGCCCCAGTCCTAGGCTTTCAGCTGGGTATTATAAAACCTTTTCGCTTTAGGCCTCTGCCGTGTGCAAAAAAGTTCAATCAGTCAATTTCAACTTCTTGGGGGGGGGGAGATCTTGCAAAGTTGGAATTGATTGACTTTTTAGTCCCACCCAGTCTGCCATTACCATCGCAGCCATGCCCACCCAATGGGCCATGTCCACCCAATTGGCCACACCCACCCAGCACTCAACGATGCATAAATTGGTTTTGGGTTGCAGTCTGGGCACTCAGTCTCTAAAAGGTTTGCCGTCACTGGCCTATACCCAGGGTCTGTGCCAAGTTCACAAGTCTGTAATGCCCATTTTCAAACAAGGATGGGGGGGGGAGTGTTAGGGGCTGATAAGTACAGATATCATAATACACTTAGGCAGGCAAGCCACTAATTTTGGAATTCTTAATTTATTCAATGGGAGGCATGCATAAGCGATTCCTGGAGATACCTACTGGGAAAGGAGGAATGCAAAGATTAATATTGTATTTCTTTTTCCAAAGTTAAGAAGATCCACGGCAGAATGGATCTTCGGGGGGGGGGGTTAACTAAGTTTCCGTTTCGGGGAAGAAGTGCCCTTCTTGTTCGCTCTCCGACACCAACCGAACTACTCATTCGTTCGTTCATTCATTTCTTGGGAACGTTCGGTTGCGCTCCCGTCCCGAGCCAGAGCCACGGGATTTGGCTGCCCACGATTCTCTTTTCCGCTAACTCACCCCTTCCATAACGCTGCCATCTATCTCCACTTGGCCTTCGTCGCTCATGGTGGGCCGCCGCTGAGAGGCCGCGTCCTGCGTCCTGTAAGTGAAGAGGCCTCTCCAAAAGATCAGCCTCCTCGCTCCCAGAAGCAGAAATGGCGAGGGACCGGAACCCGACCCAAGACAAGCACGGAGAGCGAGAAATCCAGCCACGGCCGCAGCAACGCCACCTCCGCCGGTTTTCTGCCTCTACTGAGAAAGCGGGCGGGGAGCAGGCGCAGAACAGGGCGGACTCCGCTGCTCCTTCTGCGGCGCTCGGGAACTCAGTTACTCCAGTGGCTTAGAAAATAAGAGGGCTTCGGCTGCCAAGTTATTTCCATATTCAACTTTTGGGAAATCTTTTCCAGGAAGGCTGTTATTTTTTCTTCCTAAATGCATTTCAATTTCTCTTCAACCACAGCTCGACTGAATCGTTACGCACAATGATTGCTTGTCAATCCCCAATGAGGTGTGTTGAATAAACACAGTTGGCAGGACTGCACAAATCAGAAAAAGATATTGGACGGGAGAAAATTGTAGCAAACCACGATAGATAGATAGATAGATAGATAGATAGATAGATAGATAGATAGATAGATAGATAGATAGATAGATAGATAGATAGATAGATAGATAGATAGATAGATTCTCCCTCAAGGATACGGACTATGCAGGTTGCCTAAGGAACCTGTATGGCCTGAAAGCTTGCATCCGTTTTATTCATTTTATAGGTGAGATGTGTTCATACACATTCAGAGAAAAAGACATCGTATGTATGTACAAACATAGAAACAGACACCAGGCAACGTCACGGGCAGTAGGGTGATGTCCCGCCATGTGAAACATTATTTCCCAACCAGGTGAAATTGGACCCGTCCCTGTTAATTTTAAGTCCTTCAAAACTTGGTTATATATATCATCAGGCTTGGAGATCTCAAGAGAATGATGAGCTAATGAGATGACTCCGTTGACTGTAAACTCCGATGCTCTCTTCTTATTTTTGATGGTCGATTGTTTCATAAAACAAATCATTCATTTTACCAAAGAAGGCAGCTTTTCACGTTCTAATTGGTCAGCGGGAGGAAAAGGTATGATCCGATTGGCTGATAAAAGGGAGGAGTGGGAAAGGCGTGGGAAACTCTCCTTCCGGAATAAGATGGCGGCAACGATTGCATTGAGGAGCAGCTGCAAAGCAGTCCGGCGTTTGGTAAGTAGTAGTGAGCGGTGGGAGAGCTGAAAAATGTGAGAAAGAAGAACAAGTAGATGCTTCGTAGGTCCTGCTTGTTTCCATTTTTTCTCAAGAGAAAACAAAACTGAAAGTATTTACTTGATCCTCTGCCTGTTTAGCAAATGCAGTAAATCGTTGGCTCTGTTCTTTTCCAATTTGAGATGAATTTTTGGATATTTATTAAGAATTAGCCACGCAACAAGCATAATGAAAGGACTGCAAGTCATCCACGGTTGTGGCCTCTTTGCCATATTCATCCTTCTAGAAATAAACTTCAGTGCGGTGCATAAAATAAGCAACTTTGTGATTTGATATTCTATCTTGCTAATTTCTATGGTTTCGATGCTACCAAACCTATAAAAACATTTCTATATTCTATCTTATTCATGCAGTTTTTTTTAAAATTATAGAGCTTTAATTCATGGCTGAAAAGCTTTCCAACAGCTGTTTGCCTGGAATGATGCCGACTTTCCCCCCATATCACAGATGTGTTGATTTAAGGCACTTTCTCAAGAGTTTTTGAAGCAGTTCAGAAGCAGCCCTGGGTCTGTGCAGTTCCCAGCGTTAGCATTTTTGAGCGCTAAGGAATCTTTTTTTGTTTTTGAAACTAAAGCAAAGCTGGTTTTCTTTTGGCAATATGCAGTTGTACTGAGCTTTAAGAAATCTTGTTCTGGCACTAGTGAAAAACTCACCTTGGCCCCATTTTCTGATCATAACTCACCAGGTTGTTAATGCACAGGTCTTTCAGAGATAAAGCTGATTTTGAAACTCCCTAAGCAATTGCTTATTTATGGTTTGAGCAATAAATCACACATCAGGTGGGAGTAACTTGAGAGAAGACTGATATCTCCAGACTATGTGTATTCTCAGCATGCTTAGATTCATGGAAGAACAGACCACAGTTGGTCATTTTTGAGCTGCTTTTGATGGACTAAAACAGGGGTTCTCAACCTTGGCAACTTTAAGACTTGTGGACTTCAATTCCCAGAATTCCTCAGCCAGTGCTGGCTGAGGAATTCTGGGAATCGAAGTCCACAAGTCTTAAAGTTGCCAAGGTTGAGAACCCCTGGACTAAAAGGTGGAAACAGAATGTTGGAAAGCTCTCCAGTTCCCCATAGTTGTTCTAGATCAGGGTTTTCAGACCTTTTCAGGCTGCATGACCTATGTTCCAGATTTCTTTTTGCTGAAAATATATTCTGCTGGCTGGTTTTTTTGTGTGTGATCTAAAAACTGAGTGTTTCTACTTCAAATGTAAGCACATAGGATTACCTAAAATAGCTTTAGCTGTGGCTGAGTTTCTCAGCTTTACGGTATCAGTTGTCTGCTTCTACCTTTCAGAAGTCTCCTTATAAAATTGGACAACCTGTGACCTGTTAGGTCCTCCTTTCAGCGATACTTCTTTACCTAAACATTCAGAGAAACAGAATGATCACAAATGGGCAAAAATAGCGCGAATGCGACTTCCAATTTCCTGCTGCCTTCCCCATTGATGTTGCTTGTGGAAAGCTGGCAGGGAATGTCAGAAATCCCTTCTCCTCAGATGAACTGCCTGCCATTTTGTAGAGAGGAGGGGAAATAAAGATAACCATGGATCATGAACAAAACTGTACCCCCACTTCCCAGCCTTCCATCAAGGAAAGAAGAAAGCTCTCCCATTGACCTTTGGCATCCTGCTCCCAGCCAGCCTGACCTTGCAAACGGGCATCACTCCTTCACCCTTTTCTCAGCACTCACTACTGTTAAGAGATATAAAAATTTAGCTTCTGTGCCAAAGCAGTTAATTACTGCTTGCCTGTTGAGCTTTACTATCGGCCGATTGGGTGCAGGGGAATGAGTGGGACAATCCTGTTCTTGTGCCATGCAACTTAATAGGTTTCTGGGAAATGTAGTCAGAAGACACAGTCTTTTGAAGCAGCTTCAACATTCCCAAATTTCATTCCCACTGGAGTCATGAGAGCTGGCATTCTGTAAGTTAGCTTGTTTGAATTATTTTGGTTCAATAATTGTTGCCTTATACCTTCCAGTTTTGCCCAATTTATAGTTACAAACAGACACAAGATTTTTAGTAGTATATAGATGCTGTTTGAGCACTATAATGGCTTACCGATCTGAAAAGGATCCAAGGGCTGGTAGTCCTTTTGTGTTAATAAATGCAAGTTGTGCAGTTGTGATTACTTGCTATATTATATCTTGGATTGCTAAATGCACGATCTTAGATTATTAGTTCTCCACCTTTGAAGGAAGTATGTTCTTGATAATAACTTCCATCCTTGTATGACATCTTTATAAGGTTCCTCTTTATATATAATTGTGGATTTCTTTATTCCAATTTTGACTTTCAGATTTGCTTTTCACTAGATGTAGATTGCCTGCCAAAGTGACATTGAAGTTCTTCTAGTCACCCTGGCTGACTGCAGTAATCTTTTTAGGTAAAAGGTAACCTTAAGCTTCATATCAGAACGTTAGCTGTATAGCAGAACATTCAATAAACAGGTTTAAACAGGCTTACAAAGCAGACATTAGAGGTTGTATCTAACCAGAATCATCATAAAATTATCCTACTAGGATACTTTATCATATGATTTGGAAAGATATTTATTTTGAGCACTAAATTTATCGGAAGCTTCTATTTCACTTCCCATATAACATGTTATCAGTTTAAATTTTATTCTGTTTTAAATCAACAAGAGGGATACTTCTCTCTCCCTTCCTAGCTCACTTTTTCACATATTCTTTTAGTAATATGAACTCTTCCTAAGAATTACTTAATTCACAATTACTTATTCTTTGGTATCATCCATAAATTCAGGTATTCTTGCATATGGAACTCAGATAAATCCTATATTCAGCAAGAGATAAATCCTTTTTTATTCAGCAAGCCATATTCAAGGAAGAAAAAGAAACAAGCTCATTTTGTATCTTCTTTGCATAAACCAAGATGATGTTTAAAATATGTGAAATTGTGGTAATAAACATTTGATACCCTAAAAGTTTGGAGCGGTTTAGATGAGGTTTCAAAGCAACATCCAATCTAAACAGTCTTCAGTACCAGACACTGAATCAAAACTGCATATTAGGGTTTTCCTCTTCTCCGGAATGGAAGATTGGAAACAGTGATGGAAACTGTCCCCAACACAGGTTCCCCTGGTCTCAAATAGGTGATGATCCAGCTTCTCACCTCTTTGAGACCTGATGGAACCCTCTCCTTTGTCATTCATTCATCCAGTCCTCATCATCTGGATCCAATTACATGTCTCCTGGAAGGCCTTAATCGACCAGGAAGAACATGACTGTAATATAGGGGTGGTCCCACTTAGAGCCTGAAGAACTCTATCCACTTCCTTGGGGCTGATAGGCTCAAATTCTTCTCAGATAAAAGGAATATTTCAGCATTTAAGCTACTAAATGCACTAAACCAGAGGTCCCCAACCTTTTGGGCACCAGGGACCGGTTCCGTGGAGAGAGATTTTTCCGCAGACCAGAAAGTGTGTGGTTTTGTGTGCTGCCTGCATCCTGCAGATGGGGCTTTGCTTGTTTGTGTGGACCGGTTGCTGGCATGCCGTGGCCCGGTACCAGTCCACGGACCAGGGGTTGGGGACCCCTGCACTAAACTGTCTGCAGTTACAAACTGCTTTTTCTTTTACCCATTCTTACTTTAAAAAATAAAGACTTACATTTTTCTCAGTTCCCAAGAACTTTGTGTAGGTTTTTTGGCAATGGTATCAAAGTGTCTTTCCATCCTTCTTGTAGGCTTTCTTTTCAGATCTCCCAATGAAATTTAAAACCTTTTCGTTTTCTTAGAGTTTTTTAAGTGGTGACGTTTTTCAAGTTCAGCCAAGATTACCTAGTTGTTCTATCAGCATTTGATATTATCTACATACATAAATGAAGTTTATTTGTAATACAGCTGATAACTGATGAATTTGAGAAATCACTTTATAAAAGTCTGTAATAATTACACTGAATTCCACAATGAAATAGAACTTATGTAAGATGCCGGAACAACTAATCTCAACCAAAGGATTAGCAGTAAACATAATTTTGCTGTATAACTCTACATATGTACAAATATATATTGATTCCTTCTATTTGTAAACTTAAATCTTCACATGCTATAGTCTGGCTATGGATTGCATTAAATATTTATGCAGTAATCTTCATAAATGTTATCTATGGTATCCTGGTGTTACTCTTAAAATGGAAATATACAGAACAGTGAAACAGTAAAAAGTTTGTTCAAAAATAGCTTATTCGTTTAATAAAACATTACTTGTTTTAAAAATTGTCTTTTTCTATTCATACAGTATTATCTTATATTATTGTCTATGCTATTGTGAGCCGTCCAGAGTAGTTGTGGGGTCAGACAGCACCTAAATAAAATACATTGAATGAAATTAATTCCAAGAAGCTTTCCTTATCCAAACCAGAATGCCCTCAAGAATACTTATTATTCTGAGAGCATTTGGGGGATGGTCGATCAAAGCTTATTGAATCTACTTACTTATAAAATGGCATATAGATCTAGTACAGAATGACATTCAGGAGAAGGTTTTCACTAGTGAAGTTGTACCCTTGGTCTGCCTAGCCCCACTTCCCCAAATGCTATTGTCACCCTAACTTTATCTGGAGAGTGGTCACATTTTCAAATCAAACAATGGATTATAGCCCCTCCCTCCTTTTTTATTGTATAACAATAATTGTGTAGCCTAGATCAGTGATTTTCAACCTGTAGTCAACAGATTCCTGGGGGGGGGACACAATGTCATTGCAGGGGGTCTGCGAAGGCTTGAAGAAATGTTATGATGTAAATATTGAATTAAGTCTTGGTGATCCATGGCCATGGTCCGTGGCCTCAAAAGGTATTTAAAGGGGTCTGTGAGAAGAAACGGTTGAGAACCACTGGTCTGGACACATTCAATAAAATAAAAATAAAATAGCTGTCAGAGGCTTTTGCTTTGTAGCTTGCAACTTTCCTTTTTTAAAAAATAAATAAAAGCAATTTTAAGAATTAAAGTTGGTTGGGGCAAGGAGCCTTCCAGGTATAAAAAGAAGCATTCTTATGAATTTTTTTATTTTTCTTTTTATTTGTGATTCTAACAATAAGTAATTATAACTAATAAGTAATATATTAATGTGTTAAAGTTAATATACTTAAGTAGTAATATATTAGTAATATTATATTAAGTATCACTATTTTATATTAATTAGTATGATTGAATATGTATACCCGGACGGGTTTACTTGCTGAAGCATTGATTTATTATGTGGGACAACCCCACTATTGTACCTATCCCTTCCCCTGGTCTAACCTTTTTGTTACCCCTTATCATACCCCTATTGACCCTATTTCCCCTTTACCCTTATAAAACTTAATAAAATATATTTTAAAAAGAAGAAGCATTTAATGCCATAAAGAACCTGTAGGTATTGCATCTCCAGTCCTTAAGCTGTATCTCACTAGATCAGGGGTTCCCAACCTTGGCAACTTTAAGACTTGTGGACTTCAACTCCCAGAATTCCTCAGCCAGGCTGGCTGAGGAATTCTGGGAGTTGAAGTCCACAAGTCTTAAAGTTGCCAAGGTTGAGAATCCCTGCACTAGATAAGCATCCCCTTAAACAGGTTAAGTAAAGGTTCATCAAGAATAGCTGCCATGATAAATACATTGGGATTTCTTTAATAGAATGAATGAAACAAAGAGATTTTAAATTGACCTTGGTGTCTGCTAATCTTGCTGTGTGAAATGTGGGTGGCGTTAATAGCTCTGATGAACTTAGATTGCAAGGTTGCTGTCCTTTCAGCACTGGAGCATTATCTGTAAATACATCCTAAGATGGAACAGTTTGGAAGAACAGGAAACCATCTTTGCCTCTTCACAGCTGTACTTTGTGTGTAGAGCAGTGGAACAGGGTAGTAGGCTCGTATAATTCTTGTGAAATGTACGCCATTTGAAAAATTAAAAATTGTGGCCGCACTTTTTTTTTCTTTGATAATGAAACACAAAAAGACTAAGAAAAATAATTTCTTTTAACTTCTTGCAAGCCCTTGATATGGCATTAACTCCCTTTCTCTCAAAGAGAATGAGAATGTGAGAGAGATTAAAAAAAGATGCTTCTGCTAATTTGGGTCTCAATTTTTTAAAAAAAACTTTTTCTTGCAAATTAAAAGGAATATGTGGAGAATTCAAAAATACTTCATGTTCTTACATTTTTAATTTTTTTTCCTCCTTGACCAGCTCTGTGTTCACCAGATAAGACTACATAGTAACTTTTGTTTGCTAAAGCAAAAATACATTTCTAAGTTTGAGAAGACTTTATGGAGGTATCAACATCAGCATCAATTATTTAGAACAACTGCTGGTAAGATTCCTTCATGTTCAAATTAGTTATTTTTTTTCTTACATGTCATTTGTTTTGTAAATACCAGAGAAAGCAAGGCAAAGAATGAAAGATTCAGGGATTTGAAATGTGCATGTTTTCCAAGTGTGCATCTTTCAAATACAGCAGTACAGTCTACTATTCTGGAAATACAAGGACAATTATTTAAAAATAATTATTTAAAAATAATTATTTAAAAATAATTATTTAAAAATAATTATTTTTATTAAAAATAAACCTTTCAGTTGATCACACTGTGCGCAACACCTAAGCCATTAGTAATAGTTTTCTATTCTCTGATTTGAAGTAAAATAAACTACTCCAGAATATAGTAGAGGACAGGAAGGCCTGGAGGAACATTGTCCGTGGGGTCGTGATGGGTCAGACACAACTTCGCAGTTAACAACAACAAACTACTGAATTGAGGACTCTGGGTTCTTTCATACAAAAGGATATAAAAATTGCCCAAGCCCATGTTCATTGGCTCAGTTTATAAAACTAACATATAAATGAATATAGCCTGTCTTCATTGGGGTAAAGACTTAGATAATTTGTTAAAGAAATGTCACATTTAACAAGAGAGCATTTAAACTCTATAGCAGTGATGGCGAACATTTTAGAGACCGAACTAGCCCAAAAACTAGCCCCGCCACTGCTCTGCCCCCCTGCCTGCCCCCGCTCTGCCCCCCCCATCCCCCGCTCCGCCTGCCCACAGGACCACTCACCAACTCTAGGGCCCGCTGCAGATCACCCAGGCAGCCCAGCAGCGCTATGGTGGCCACACCCTCTGCCCGCACCCTGCAGCATCAACTGCATGATGGGGTGTGAGGGCAGAGTCTTGTCTATGCTGTCTAGCTGCCATGTCCTTGGCTGCACTGCTCTGTGTGGGCCACGCTCAAGGGCGAGTCTCCTTCAGGGGGGCTGTTGGAAAGGAGGGGGTCATGGGGGGAGGCAAGGCTAGGGCAACGGCACGTGTGCCCACAGAGAGGGCTCCGAGTGCTGCCTCTGGCACCTGTGCCATAGGTTCGCCACCACTGGTCTATAGGTTCTGCTTTTGAAGTACAGGAAAAGTAGTCCAGTATGTATTTGCAGAGATAGCTTCACTTTCAGTAATTATCATCCACCCATTTTTTTGCTTAAAATGCCGATTAATTGATTGATTATATGCATCAAGGTGGTTTCAACTCTTAGTGACCCTATAGATAGATTTTCTTCCTGATTATCTGTCCCTATCCTGGTCTCTTCCAACGGTGCCCCTATCACTACTTTAACTAAGTCCATTCATGTTGCTTCTGGTTGTTTTCTTCTTCTTTTTTCCTTCCACCTTTCCCAGTATTAGAGCCTTCTCCAGAGAGCTGGATCTTTACATAATGTGTCGGAAGAAAGATATAAAGATTGCAAACTCTATTTTTATGACAGTGCTGGGTCAACACACCAAGAACATTTACCCATAAAACACATGTTGCTTTTACCAATCCTTTGTCTACAGATAGCCTAAATATTAACATTTCCTAATTTTCAAAGTTCAGCCTGCATTTGCTCACATCTGCTGGCTAGTTAGCTTCAGCCATAGGATTTCAAAGTAAAAAAATCCACGCAGGCGTTGAACCTCTGCATCTGTTGGCACATTGTAATTTTCCCAAGGCCCCTTTTCTTCTGCATTTTAGTTTTTAAGGATTCTGGTTTGTCTGCCTGTATATTGAATTACTTTGTCTCTTCCAGATTTTATTTAGTATTGCTTCTTAGTTATTTTTCACTGCTTAACATTTTCTCCTTTGTCTTCAAGTTTCACAGGGCCCGATTGTTCAGTTCAAGCTCTCTGATATTGGAGAAGGGATCACAGAAGTGACAGTGAAAGAGTGGTAAGTTTAAATTGTGTGTTTCCTTGGACCAATTCCCTGACTAAAAAAGCTTGCTTTTTGGAAAAATGGGATAGGGGAAGAAAAGGAAAAAAAAAAGAATCTTTTAATCCAAGAAGGTTATAGAGATAACGTTCTGTTATTAGTCATTGTTTTATATTTGGAGCAATCAAGGCATTGAGAACTAGGCCTCATTTTTCTGACTCAAGGGCTGATGTGTGAAGGAATGTCGTCATATTTCTCAGAGAGTTCATTTCTATGCCTTAACATCGTTGAATTTATTCTGTTTATAAATTGCTTACTCTCTTGTTTATCATTAAAAACAATTCTAAAACAAGATTGCTTAAGATTCTAGACAACTGAATAGGAACACTTTCTCACAAATTTGGGCTTAGTAAGTCTGGAATGCTTTAATTAACCCAGTGGTAGGCAGCCTTGGCTCAGGAGTTACAGCTGCAGATTGGACCCAAAATAAAGAATGTGAATTCAGTGAAGTGGAACCAGTTTTGTATAGTGATAAAGGTGCCAGGAGACCATGGGATCTAGTCCCACCTTAGGCATGAAAACTAATTGGGTAACTTTGGGCCAGCCACTCCCTCTCAGCCCAACTCATCTCATAGGATTATTGTTCTAGGGCAGGGGTAGGCAACCTTGGCTCTTTTATGACTCGTGGACTTCTACTCCCAAAATTCCTGAGTCAGCCATGCTGGTTCAGGAATTCTGGGAGTTGAAGTCCACGAGTCATAAAAGAGCCAAGGTTGCCTACCCCTGAATTAACCCAATATCTGTGGAAGTAAATGTTGATGCTTGATCACTGTCAGTTTGCTCAAACTAAAGAAAGATAGTAGATAGACACAACCACTCCCTTGTTCAAAGCCTTTGATCGCACTAGGTTCTTAAAAAGACCAACTTTCAAGAACCACTTTGCAGGTCTACAGTAACAGCATTTTCCATATTTTTCCTTGTTTTTGCATACACACCACTCTTATTGAAGTTGCCCTCAAGTTGACTTCCGGATAGCACTTAGACTTATATATCAGCCCATAGTGTTTTACAGCACTCTCTGAGCGGTTTGCAATGTCAGCATATTGCTCCCAACAACCTCCTTTTAACAACCTTGGAAGGATGGTAGGCTGAGTCAACCTTGACCCCATCAGGATTGAGTTCCAGACTGTGGGCAGAGCTAGCCTGCAGTACTGCATTCTAACCACTGCACCACTAGGGCTCATGCAGCTTTCTTGACAGCCATAAGGAAGTGGTAGGTTGTTGACTTCTTCTTAGATGCTGCTGTAGCCTTGAGCCAGGCACTTGCTTGTGGTCTCCCATCCCTGTACCAGATGAACCTGATTACCTGCCAGAACAGGATGGCTACCTGCTGAGATCTTATGAAAGCTGTTTTTGGAGATCAGCTTTACCCTTGTGTATTTCTTGTGACTTTTTTTCCTTTTTTCAGGTATGTAAAAGAAGGTGATGTTGTGTCACAGTTTGATAGCATCTGTGAAGTACAAAGTGATAAAGCCTCGGTCACAATCACCAGCCGTTACGATGGCATCATTAGAAAACTCCATTATGAGTTGGATGAAATTGCCCGTGTGGGGAAACCGCTGGTGGACATAGAAACAGCTACTTTAAAAGGTAACAATTGTTTCTTTTCATCGCTGAATCAGAATGTCACCATGTAACCAACAGCATTGAATATTGATTTGTAATTATTGGTGTCCACTGCACTTTAAGCCATGTGTTTATGCGAAGATGGGAATGCACATGTGTAAAAAAAATATGAGACCTTAAAAAAGGGCAGTGATGGCGAACCTTTTAGAGACTGAGTGCCCAAAACCCGCCCCGCCCCTGCTCTGCCCCCCACCTGCTCCACCCCTGCCCGCCTGCAGGGCCCCCACTGCCACCACTGCAGCAGATCACCCAGGCAACCCAGCAGCACCATGGCTGCACCATGGCTGCTATAATGCACCATGCATATAATCATGTCCTCCGCCCATGCCCACGAAGACGGAGTTTTATCCCTGCTACCTGGCTACCATGTCCTTGGCTGCGCTGCTCCTTGTGGGCCATGCCTGGGGGCAACTATCCTCTGGCGGGTTGCTGGTGAGGAGGAGGCCACGGGGGGAGGCAGGGCTGGGGCGACAGTGCACGTGCCCATAGTGAGGGCTCTGAGCGCCGCCTCTGGCACGCGTGCCATAAGTTCGCCACCACTGCTCTAGAGAGTTTCTTCTAGGAGATTTCAATTTATATAACTTCTGGAAAAATACCAAAATGAAGCCTGATAAGAAGCCACAACAATAGACGGCTCTGAAGACACGAAATGGTTATCAGAACAGAAAGTGGTTCTTTGTGAAGTGCAGATGATGTGCTGCTATTCAAGTAAAAGAATACTAGAAGGCATCAAAATAGTTCCAAGCAGGGAGTGGCTAATCCTTGTCAGAAATGTTAACAATCAGTGGAACTGTAGTTCTTCAGAGCCATTATATAGAATAAGAATAGCATATCTTATACTATTGTTTTGATCAAATGTGATAGGGCCTTCTTTTTTCTTCATACAGCTGAACCCTTAGTCTCTTTCCTTTCTTGTTTTTGGGAAGTGGTGCCAAAGCTCCTGCTTTTTTACATTACTATAACAATTTAATGTGGCCTGTTGAAACCACACAGTTGTTAAAGTTAGTAACACCATTGTTAAGGGAATCTGGCTTCCCCATTGATTTTGCTTGTCAGAAGGTTCACAAAAGATTAAATATGAAGTAGTTGCCAAGCATCCGAATTTTGATCCTGTGACCAAGGGGATGCTACAACAGTTGTAAGTGTGAAAAAGGGTCATGTCACTTTTTTTTCGGTGCTGTTGTAACTTCAAACGGCTACTAAACAAATAGTTGTAAGTCAAGGACTACATGTACTTAACATTCTTTACTCTTCCCAGTTTCCCTAGAACAGGGGTAGGCAACCTTGGCCCTTTTATAACTTGTGGACTTCAATTCCCAGAATTCCTGAGCCAACCATGCTGGCTCAGGAATTTTGGGAAGTGAAGTCCACAAGTCATAAAAGAGCCAAGGTTGCCTACCCCTGCCCTAGAACAACAATCCTGTGAGGTGAGTTGGGTTGAGAAGGAGTGGCTGGCTCGAAGTTACCCAATTAGCTTTCATGCCTAAGGTGGGACTAGAACCCATGGTCTCCTGGCACCTTTATCACTGCACAAAACTGGTTCCACTTCACTTGATTCACATTCTTTATTTTGGGTCCAATCTGCAGCTGTAACTCCTGAGGAAGATGTGGTGGAAACGCCTGCTGTGTCACGTGAAGAACAGATCCACCAGCGAATCAAAGGCCATAAGACTTTAGTAACCCCTGCAGTTCGCCGCCTTGCTATGGAAAACAATGTATGTTTTTATTACTGAAAAGAGGGTTCTTGCAGTTGATGTGTCATATATATTGCAAACATATAGCATGTATACATTTGCCTACGTGCCAAAATCATCACTGATCGGAGAAACTAATTATAAACTTTAAGATTTGGCATCTACTTTATAAATGAAAGAGATACGTTAAATATCCATAAGTGATCTGGTAATATGCTTGCCTCTTTAAAAGCCCTGGTCTGCTGTGTGTTAAAAATTATGATGTATTCCATTGTCTGATCTAGGTTTAGAACAGGAACTATTCTCTCCACTGAATGTGGTATCAAATATTGAGGAGAGGTTGCTGAGCATTAACGTGGATGCATAATTTTCAAGGAGTCTATTCCCCAAAGGAAGTTTGGAAAGAGCTCTTGACAACTCTCTCCCTCCTACCTGTCTTAAAGAGAGTTGAAAACTTTGAAGCTCTGAATATTTCAGCCTCAATGGAATATTGGCAGTATAAGATATTTTAAACACTGGAGTTAGGCTATGAATGCCTATGTGTTAAATATTTTGCATTTAAAGAGACTACTTTGTTCAGGGAATAGAGGAAAGTCTTGTGTCCTGTAAAGGAAACTAAATGGGTTATTGGGGAAAACTTTGTGCATTTCAGCAGATGCATAAAGCATAATGGGGAAAGCAAAGAGAACAGAATTGCTAGCGAGATGGAAAGAGATCTCTTTAATACACTAGGCGAGTTGTGTCTGAAAAAGGAAGATCTTGGGGAGCAGCTTCCCTCCGCTGTAGTGTCTGCACTCACCCTAGCAATGCCAGTTGCATCAAACAGTCTCTTGCAGATGTAAAGTGTTTCTAGGCAGCAGTTTCATAATGCAGTGATCCCCTTCATCTCCAGAATGTGAAATAAAAGGTCCTCATGTTGTCATCTTCCACTTGAATTTCTCCCCATATTTCCTTATTCATTTTCAGTCATATTACAGAACATCTGCTAAGGAGGGAAAGATGGACCAGCATATTGAAAACTTCTCTCAGAAAGCATAGGAGCTCTTTTGACTACCTGGTTTGTCAACAAATCAGCTTCAGAAATCTAACAAGAATTATACATGGTTTGTGTTACTGTGGGTTCTGTATGTGGACTTGAATAAGTGGTTATGAACAAGTGAAACAGGATTTTAATAACTTATTTAATTGCGTACAAATTTGGGAAAGGGGGGATGCATCTCAGGTCCATGGTTTCAAGCATCAGATGCTTCCAAAACTTGACCCGCTGTGGAAAATTTAACTGAAATCAAACAGTTACATGGATTCTTCAAGTGAGTTACGGATCTGCCATTTGCTTCCATTCTTCCTGAGTTTTCATCTTGTGCTCAATTTCTGGAGTTCCTATACTATATAGGTTTTCATGGATCTGAGAGAGCACTTTGTAATCTACAAATTGGTTATTTAGTTCAGCATAGATGGCTCCATCACTCTGAATTGTTGGTTATCCTGTATCTTTCAGATAAAGCTGAGTGAAGTTGTTGGAACAGGGAAAGATAACCGTATTCTCAAAGAAGACATTCTTAACTACTTAGCCAAGCAGACTGGAGCAATTTTACCCCTGTCACCAAAGCCTGAGAGCATTCCACCTTCATCAAAACCAGAGCTTGCTTCAGACACGTCAAAAGAGAAAGCTGAAAGAACTGTAACACCACTTTCTAAACCTGTAATTTCAGCGAAAGATCGAACAATGGCCTTATCTGGTAAAGAGGGAGGGGGGGGAAGTGATTTTAATAGCGTGTGTGAAACACTTATAAATAACAATTACAAAACACTATCACTACATTTGTGATCTCAGAAGGGTACTGTGGGACATTCCACACCTGTCTTTTTTATGTTGAAGAATTATAGTCAGAATTGTGGTAGAACCACTGAAATAGGTGTTTGTATCCTCTCTAGCTGTTTGTATTGATTGGGTGGGTGAGTTTTCCTGACCATCAGTATTATTTTCAGAAATGTAGTGAAACTTCATTGAATAAAACACCAGCAACTGGAGGGAATCCAAACAATGTTTATTAGTTCCAAAGCTAGGTCATAGATTTTTTGCACCCAAATGAGTCCAAGAAAAAAAGTATGACGTTACATAGGTCTTATATAGAACGTTGATTGAGGGCAGGTTGAACATATGTTAATAAGCCACCCTGGTTGAAAGAACTGCTTTACAACTAATAAGCAAACAAGGTAACTACAAAGGTAGACCTGGGCATTCTTCGTGATGCAGAAATATTACAGACCCAGACTTTGGAAGGTATCATAGTAGCTTTGATGTATGGCTTGTGCCAAGATACTAATTATTGTTCTAACTACAGAATTCATTATAAACTTAACAAGCCCAAACTGGCACAGTAAAGAAGTTTCCATTCTTAAAAAGTATTATATGAGAAATATAAAAATTAGACATATAGGTATCTATAGATATATAGTATTTATACTATAGTGCTAAAAGTGAGCATATGGTTACATAATTACTTCAGCCTAAATTCACATTCCAGATCTCCCCACAATAAATATGAAAATGCTGATCTGGAAAAGAAGTTTTTATACATACAGCCAATGCAGATTTAGATTAGAATTGGAGTGTTCATCAAGACTCCTATGAAAAGAAACTAATAGTTTTCAGTGCATGTGAATTTATGTATTTACTAGATGTAGCCGGTAGTTCAGCCTAATAAATTGAACCTGAGTCCCGATTAATGTACTGTATAGAAAGCAATACATATCAGTGTTTTAGGAAAGTGAATGTAGAATCTGATAAAGATTGCTAACCAGCCCCATGTTTCCTACCTCTTAGATTGCTTTTCAGAATTAATTAGTTATCAAATTTAGAAGCCTAAATTTACTACCTAATTTTTCAGAATTAGTTGGATTAATTTCCCCATTCCTAGAAAATTAATATAATTTCTGGGGATTCCTGAATTGTAGTAATAAGATCTTAGTATTCCAACATTCTAATTTTGCTAGAGAGCAACCTTCTGTTGCAGCCTAAGACTATATTATTCACTTTAACTGCTTCTCCTGCATAACTCACTGGTGGTGTTGAGCAGAGGTTCCCAACTTTTTGGGTGCCAGGGACCAGTTATGCGGAGTGAGGTTTTTCCACAGACCGGAGGGGACATATCTGATCCTGTGGGTGGGGCTTTCTTTGTTTATGTGGACTTGTTGCTGTCATGCCACGGCCCAGTATTTATCTACGGACCAGGGGTTGGGGACCCCTGGTATTGAGGACTCTCTGTTCACACTCTGAAGTATCCAACTATAATTTCAGGCCATGAAAGCTACCATACAGTGTTCTGAAAAGTATAAAATGTGATGTTACACAGAGTTCCTAAAAATCTCCCACCCAAATCTTGATTATTTCCATAGCTATTGACTGTCCCCATTGAATGCAGTGGATAAACCATCTTTAGCAAAGTTGATTCTACAGCATTCCTTTTAGATAACTGATTTTTCCTTAATCATACAGTTCCCCCCCCCCAGAGTTTTTCCTACATCTGACTGGATAATTATAATATTGCATGATGTATTTCCTTTGCTATTGAAAGGAAACTTGAAAAAACAAAATTAACTTATTTTTTTTTTAATGTTTCAATAGCAAAACAACTAGAGTATCACTAATGGTGTATGGTTTCCCTTCTTTATTTTTTTAGGATTTCAGAAGGCAATGGTCAAAACTATGAGTGCTGCTTTGAAAATTCCTCACTTTGGTTATTGTGATGAGATTGACCTCACTCGGCTCATCCAGCTGAGAGAAGAGTTGAAGTTTTTAGCAAAAGAACGGGGAGTTAAACTCACTTTTATGCCCTTCTTTTTAAAGGTTAGTTAAAGGTTGCTTCCTCTAACCCAGTAGCCATATGTTGGGGCACAGGATTATCAAATTTGTCAGGAAACTTTCTAATCCCTTGATTTTTCATGATGTTGTCTAACTAATATGAATTCAATGAACATCTGAAGGTACAAAGGTTGTTTTAACTGTTTTATAGCAGAAACAACCTTGGAAGAAAATCTGTAGGCAAATCTGCCTGTATTCTGCATCACTGGTTTGATATGTTTTCATATCTGTTCTTCATCGGCATTTCAAACATACTGTTTCAAAATGCTTTACAGGATGATACTAAAATATACTTAGGATAACCATATTCACACAGTCCAATTTGTATTGATTATAAGTACCATGATAAGATACTTTTCAAAAACAATTCTATAATCCTAGACAAGATTTTCCTAGAAAGGTCACTTGATTTCAGTGGTGCCTGCTCCACAAAACTAGAATGATCTAGATCAGCAATCCTCAACCTTTCTGGCACCAGGGACCGGTTTTGTGGAAAACAATTTTTCCACAGATGGGGGTGGTGGGTGGGAATGGTTTTACACGAAACCTAGATCCTGTGCATACACAGATGAAGCTTCACTCGCTCGCCCGTTGCTTGCACGGCCCAGTTCCTAACAGCCACGGACTGGTACCAGTTCATGGCCCAGGGATTGGGGACCCTGATCTAGGTAGTACAACACTTTACAGATATCTGGAACTTTACTATGGAAGGACAGGAATCATGAAATGTAAAAAAGGATGGATCACTCAAATTTCTTTGATAGGTTTGTTTTATGGAATGGGACAGTAGATAGGGTATAATGAAATCCATCAAATCTTCATGAGCTTTTACCTTTACAGAATAATTAGGAATCCCAGCCCAGAAAAATAAGAGGGTTATGATCTTTGTGGCTCCTGGCTTCATGTAAGCTAGCCTAATAACTGGGACATTAAACTTAAACTAATCAGAATTTCTGAGAGTCAATTTGATATGGCGATTAAGAGTATTGGATTAGAAAATGGGCAATTGTGAGCTATAGTTCTGTGTTAGGCCTAAAGCCAGCTGAGAGTTTTGTGGTAGTTGCTCTCTGTCAGGCTTAGGAAGAAGGCAATGTTATATCATTTCTGAAAAAGTTGCCAAGAAAACTACTTGTGTGTAATTACTAAGAGTCAAGAGTCACTCAAAGACACAATCTCCCTCGAGTTACTAGCCCAGAAGGACAAAAGAAACCCTGTTTGCTGTAAACTAGAAAAGATGTTTAAGACTTGTATCAACTGCAACATTTCTATGGTCGGTCCACCTGGGAAATGCCCTTCTCATACTAAAAGATAGCAGTCAAGGAGATAATGAAGTACCTCTACCTTTCTCTCTTTCTTTTTTTTCCTCTCATAACATATATGGACTTGTGTAAATTATATTGTAATGTGTTCTTTTTATATGTTTAACAGGCTGCTTCTCTAAGCTTATTACATTATCCCATTCTTAATGCTTCTGTGGATGAAGACTGCCAAAACATCACATACAAGGTTTGTGTACAATTTAAAAAGTAGTTTCTTAATACATCCTCAACTGGTCCAGCTTTGTTCAATTTTCAGTAAAGGTACATTTAAGTGCATCCTGCAGATAGAAAATAAACACTGAAAGATTTCAGGTCTTTTTCCTGTAGGATGCTCAGAAAGAGACGTGGATTCAATATGAGGACAAATCTCTGGCTTTAATTGTGTGAAAGTCTACCACTTAATTGTCCTGGGTCTTATTCCCTTTTAGGAATTTAGCCCCCGGGGAAGAGGGGGAATCACATTGCGGATGCAAGGGCAGGAGTATAATCTTGAGAAAAATCATAGCTTCTTGTTGGAGTTGCCCCAATATTTTTCCAAATCACTTTTTCTCTTAAAATCTGGATTGCCTGACAGATAGTCCTTGACTTATGAACGGTCACTTAGCAATTGTTTAAAGTTAAGATGGATCTACCTTGGGGCAACTTATGACCTGGATTCAAAGTTCAGATGGTTGGCCGTCCTTTGCCTCCATGGTCACATGGCTGAATTTCAGGTGCTCAGCAACACAGCCATACTTACAGCTGTTTGCAGGGTCCTATAGTCACGGGACTACGTTTTACAGCGATTTTGCCATAATTTGGCATTTTCAGTTTTCAGCAATACTACATCCATAGCAAACAATTGGTTCATTTAACAACTGCAGATTTGCTTAATGACCACTGCAAAAATAGTTTTTGGTGATGGCCTGTTTTTTGACCATCATGATGTAGGTGTAACTGTTACAACCTACAAAACAACAATTGAAGAATAATTAAATGAGAAATACTTTATTTTGTCAAGAATGAAGAGAGATACCTCTATACAAATTGATGCCGTACATTTCCGTGCATTTCTAGGCTTCTCACAATATTGGAATTGCCATGGACACAGGACTAGGCTTGCTTGTCCCTAATGTGAAAAATGTCCAGGCTTGTAGTGTGTTTGAAGTTGCTTCAGAATTAAATCGCCTTCAAAAATTGGGCTCAGCTAACCAGTTGGGAACAAAGGACCTCACAGGGGGAACATTCACACTTTCCAACATTGGCACAGTAAGTTAAACAGCATGCAACATTAAACTGATAAAATGTTTGGAATATCATGGGGGCATAAACCGTAACAAAGGAGAGAAAATTGAAGTAATTTAGAAGAGTCAAAGGATAATGCCATTGCTTCTAGGAGAAGATATCTACTGAGCTTCCTTTAATGGCTGGGGCTATAGAATATATTCAAGGACAAAAAGTGGAGTCTGTCGTAGCCTTGTCACTTATTTCTCCAATTATATTTAAACAAAATTTATTTTCCACCTAGAATGGATGTTAGTTTTATTGGCTAGAACTTCTGGGAATTATAATTTGTCTGAAATGTTCCAGATTGAAGAACGCTGCTTTAAAACCTGCCTAAACGCATCACTAAAAGCGTACTGATTTTCAATAACTTCCCTTTTTGTTTCCTAGATTGGTGGCACTTATGCAAAACCCATGATCCTTCCTCCTGAAGTAGCTATTGGGGCTCTGGGAAAAATACAGGTATTTTCACTGTGAATTATGAAAGATCAGTTTGAAATACTCCCTAATAAATGTTTGTGTTGGTTTTCTAACTTTTTTTGTAGTCTCATATGGTGAATGTGTGAAATCATGTTTATTAATACTTCAGTGGTTTAAAGTTTTTGTTTGCTATCAATGACCTAACAAGTGGTTAACAACAGAAGAGCCTTTTCTTTTGATGTCTTATATATGAGGCTAGTCCTGAGAAAATGGGTTCTCAGAATAAACATCAAAATATAATGACTTATATCCTAATTTGAATATTGTTTTTTTAGTGTGTATTCTTAATTTGTGGGGATGACAAATCCGAGAAATATTGCTCATGTTAATGTAAAATCTATTATTTTTAATGCAACAGCAGGTGATATCTTGGATACTTAATTTAAGAATCCACCATTACTAATCACTTTGAGTTGACCAAGTCTGGACTCCTACATTATTTTCACATACATTGTGCTGTAAGATCCGTTATGACTATTACGCTGTCAAAAAGACTTATAAATTTAATGCCTGTTCATATGCTTTGAAATCTTGAGTAAATACCTTTTAATTAACTTATCAGTAAGGTTGCTCAGGTGTGGGAAATTCTCATGAATTAATCCACTGTTTTTCTTACAGCATTTTGTTTTTGTTTTTTTAATTTCTAGGCCCTTCCTCGATTTAACAATAAAGGTGAAGTATTTAAAGTACAAATAATGAATGTGAGCTGGTCAGCTGATCACCGAATCATTGATGGTGCAACCATGTCTCGTTTTTCTAACTTGTGGAAATCCTACTTGGAGAATCCTGCTTCCATGCTGATGGATCTTAAGTGAAGAAGACAAACATCTGGATGGCTTATTTTAAATCCAAAAGTGCAATCAGGCTAACTAAGCTAGCAAGTGCCATTAAAACTGACTTCTTATTTCAGAACTGCATTGCATATGCTAGATCTTTCAGATCCTGGCTCTATGTCTTGATTATCTGTTACATTTTTGTCTAGTTGAATTGCTTAGTGGTAAATTATTTGTCTAGAAGCTTTAATGGGTCATGGTATGACTCTTTCACAAGGTGGGGGAAATTTGGACAATTACGGTATTATCACATGGAGACCGCTAATAATACTTGTGGGACTCTTATATAAAACTTCTTGCACCATTCACAAAATAAATTGCAACCTGATTAGAAATGAAAGTCCCTGGATAAAAACATTAACCGAATGTTAACTATTTCTTATGCAATTAATTTACTACAAATGATGTTCAAATAAAATGTTTTTAATGCTTATTTTATTAAAGATGCGAAGATTCAATTTTTAACATATAGTGCTAATTGCTCTCTTTTTAAAATATTCTTTCTGTCTCGAGTTTTGTGGCAGACGTTCTTCATTACTAACATGAATATGTATTCTAGGAAAATGGCAAGCCCTGGACCACGGCTACTTTTTTTCTCTCCAAATTTGGGACTGACTTTTACAGCATAGAAATTACACTAGGCATACACAAGATCCAAGTGTGAATTAAACATTTCTGTAACATAAGAAGCTGCTTTCAGTCAATGTGGAGATCTTTGAAATATCTAATAGCAGTTTTGTAAACCATTGTTTTTCAAACTCAGCAACTTTAATGGGGTGTGGATTTCAATTCTTGGAGCTGAAGTCCACACATCTTAAAGTTGCCAAGTTTGAATAACACTGTTGTAAAGCCAAGTTTGAATAACACTGTTGTAAAACCACCATTTTCATAAACATATTTATGCTCTGGATCCATAAATGAATAGCTTTTTCAGGTGTAAAACATGCTGTAAAAACTGTGAAATAGGATTAAAATCTATATACTCCCAAAAGTAGATATGATTATTGGAAGCCTTAAAGAAATGACCACATGCTTTTAACAAAATGTTAAAAATTTCAGAAAGTTAGTGGTGAGTGTCAATTTAAGGAAACCTATTGTATCAGTGTAAATATATACATATATGTTTATTTAAGATCTTTGTAATATATAATCTGAGAAGGGGGAACATATCTAGATCTGGGCGTTTCTCTGTATTCATTATTTTGAGGAACAAGCAGAAGAACTATAAAACTGATAAATCTGTAGATCTCTAAGGAATTTTATATAACACATAAGCACATATAAATTGAACATTTCTCTGTTGTTTGTTTAATAAAGCTTATTTTAATAAATCCCATTTTTCATAACCTTTGTAGCCTTATCTGGGATGCTGTATTGTGACTCTGGATCCTCTACACTGGGGTTTTGAGCTGCAAGCTCCTATAAAAATCTTTGTAAGTTATAAAAATCATTCCTTTTTGAATCAGAGCTTAATCAAAATCTCAGGAATGGATTCTTGGTATTTACTGTTTTACAGTGCTGTGGCCTGGATTTGCAATCATTTTAGTAATTGTTATCAACCGCAATACAGTTTGGGCTGAGGGAAAATTTCAAATTAAAGCATTAAAGAATATTTATGGGGGTGGCTGAAGCTTTTCCAGCTGGTTGCTGGACTAATACATCATTTTGCCAGGATTGTGTATAACTTCCTTTGATTTGTAAGCTCATGCTTGTACAGTCATTAATGGTACTGAGGCACCTTGTGTTCTCTTGGCTTCTTTCACAGTTCTTCAGTTTCTCCACCGTCACAGCCTTTTTCTGGCGATTCATTACATATGTCCAAAATATTTAAACCAGCGCCCCCCTCCCAACCTTTTGGGCACTAGGGAGAGAGGTTTTTCTGTGGACTGGAGGGGCATAGTTTCGCATGCCTGCATTCTGTGGATGGCGCTTTGCTTGTTTATGCGGCCCAGTTGCTGGCATGCCGTGGCCTGGTGTCAGTCCACGGACCAAGGGTTGGAGACGCCTGATTTAAAGTGTAGTTTCATTTTTAGTGCTGCCAGTGATCAGTCTGCTTCACTTCACTAAGTTTTCAATTATTTGCTCTTGTAGACCAAAACACCTCTACAGTTTTCTCCAGCATCTGAAGAAAATTAAGAATTCCATGATCTCCAAGAAAGCTTCCATTTTGCTCCATTCAGCTTTTCTGATGGTCCAGATTTCACAAACTTATTACAAGAGGGATACCATGGCTTTGTCTTTAATAAACTCTGTCATTAGATTCTAAATTGTCTAGAAGCTATTGTAGTTTTTCTCCCAGGCAGAACTTTTATTTTATGGCTGCAGTAACTGTCTTTGTGAAGGTTGTTAGTGCTTGAACTTGTTCCTGCCAATGTCATGGGTTAAAATTAGAATCGAGCTGCCGTGACATTTTGCTCTGTCATTACTGGCAAGAAGGGTTTAATGGCTTTAACAAAGCTATCAGGATTCATGACGGAATTCTTATTGTACAGAAATCTCTGGGCCATGGAAAACCCTCTGTGGTTTCAAGTAAGTAGTTGATAAAATCCTTTAATTCACTCCTGGATGGGGGGGGGAGTGAATTGGCAAGGAGTTTGTTGTTGCTTTGACGCTAAAATTGGGAGCATGCTTTTCAAGTGGCTGGTGGTTCTCAATTGCCATTATTTTGCAGTTATCAGTCAAGCCTTGTCCAAAAACCGTGGCAGGCCACAGAAGTCTGCATGCAAGACTCCTAAGAATAGGCTCGATGCTAATGGTGAATTAATGTTTGTCCTTCCTATAGATGTTTCTCCTGGATGTCAATTAAAAATCCAGAAATTGAAGGCATTTTTCCATCTCACATGGGTTTCCTGTTTTGCTCACGACACTCCTGGATAACCTAGCAAAAAAATGAAAGCGGGGGCTGAATTTGAATGTGGAAGAGCTATGACTGAAACTGCTGTTTCTGTTGGCTCATTTATGGCTATTAAAGACCTGTGGGAAGTCAGAATCCAGAAAATCACCGAAGAGCTTCGGAAGCAAAAAGAATTCAGTCAAAAGGCTGCAGGGAGGTAGGTACTCAGGGGTCCTTTGGATGAGAAGAATGATCATATTTCAATTGGGATCTCTAATTTTCAGGAGATCTCTAAAAATGTAAAAAAAAAATCAGCACATACAGAAGGAGTCGATTTTTTTTTAATGTTCCAAAATATTCTTGCTCTGTTCTGCAAGTAGCAGTTGTAACGCATTCCAGTATTCTGCTACTAAAGTCTCCTTTATGTCAAGGCCAGCCCAAGGATGATATACAACTCGGTTGTAAATGCAGTGCAATATGATGATTTAGGAGCTTTTGGTTTCCGAGATACAATTGATACTAACTGCTCCACTGTTTAATAGCAACAGCTGTGCTGCCTTATCAATTCCAGACTACAAAAGTTTTAAAGCACGTTGGAAATTGCAGCAATTGCATCTTTAAAGCTTTACAACTTTTATTTCTAGACTGACAATTATTTGGGAAGAGAGGACGAGTTTGGCCAAGCTGAAAGGCAAAGTAATCAACGAAGATGGAAGGGCTGTTTTAAGGATTGAGCAGGAGGAATGGCAGGTATTTGTGCAAGAACTGTTAAGAGATGAGTTTTCATTCTTCACTTTGCTTCAATATTTTGTTTTATCAGTTTAATGTTCAGCTGCTCCCCGCTTCCTGGAGACCTGCAACAGCTATTTGTTTTGGATGAGAGCCCTTGGAAACATGTGAAAAGAACAGCATCACTTTTGCTAATTATAACTATGGCACGATTAATGTGAATTCAAACAATGCAATATTTGATTTATTGTGACTTGTAAATTGATAGCAGGTTGGGTTTAATGGAACCCAAAATTCAGTTCATGTAAGGCTAGATTGTGCAGTCAAGGGTAGTATATGCACAGATGTTGCTCATCTTTGTATATGTAAAATGGAAGAAAGAAATATGTCAAAGGAGAACAAGTTCAAAAAAAGAAGAGGCTTGTTAGAGGAAAACTTTGATGTAGTTGAACCTTATCAATGTCATAGCAACACTAAAATAGGACAAGGTGTTGGAACGGCTAAATCTACAGTGCTCATTATTATAAAACATGCATGGGAAATTTTAAAAAGGGCAACGTTGCATTACCTTTTTGTTGTTTGCAAACATCTGCAAGGAGATTGAGACATGTTTTCATCAGTGTAAGATTACCTTTAGGAATGATATTTTAAAAAAATTGTTTTTAGACAATATTTCTATTGCCTCTATGATGTTGTTAATAAGTTTAAATTGTAGATATATTCTTTCTATTCTTTACTGTAAAAATCATTAACACATATATAATTTATGTTAGAAATATTTCATTGCCTATTTCTGTCAAACTGGAACCAATTATCCTATTTTCCATAGAAACATCAGCTCAAATAGTGCAAATTCAAATAAGGTGGTCATTTTGTGGGATTCATTAACTGCATTAATCAAGATCTAGCTGTATCGACTGAGGATTTGATTTTGACAATGGTTTTAAAGTGTTGAATTTATACACGATCATCCTTATATGCAATGCTAATCTAGTATTATTTTGAAAATTCCGAATTAGGGTATGTGTCTCTTTACTGTTCCTTTATTTTTTCTCTCTCTTTTTGCTTGCTTGTGTTTCTTAAATATCTGTTTTTTAAAAAGCCTGAGTTGCATACAACCAGATAATCAATGTATGGCAGCGTTGCCTCAAGTTTTCTTTATAAGAGGCTATCCGTATTTTTGTAGCCCAGGTTAGGTACACTGTACTTTGTGTCAGTTTCTTTAGTTCAGGGGTGTCAAACTGCTGGCTCACGGGCCGGATGTGCCATTAGGAAACCATGCCCACCCCATTGCCGGCAATGGCAAAAAAGCTCTGATACGTTACGCAACATCACATGACGTCACAAGTTTGACATGTCTGCTTTAGTTCCTAAAACTGATTATTTCAATATACAGGTAGTCCTTAACATACATTCTTTTATCAATTGTTTGAATTTCCAAAGGCACTGAAAAAAGTAATTTTTAATTGGTCCTCACATGTAAGGCTGTCACAGCATTCCCCAGGTTCATGTGATCAAACTTAGCACTTAGCAGCTAGCATGTATTTGCAATGGCTGCAGTATCCCGGGTCATATGACCACCATTTGCAACTTTCCCAGCCCGCTTCCAACAAACATGGGCAATCAGGGAAACCAGATATGTCTAACAAACATATGATCCACTTAACAACCGTGGCAAAATGGTTGTAAAATTGGGTGCAATTCATTTAATAATCACCTCACTTAGCAACAGAAATTCTGGCCCCCAGTTGTGATCACAAACTGAGGACTGCCTGTAGAGTTATTGATCTGGTGTGCTTAGAGCAGTGATGGTGAACCTTTTAGAGACTGAGTGCCCAAACCGCAACCCAAAACCCACTTATTTATCGCAAAGTGCCAGGGCTGCATCAGCATTGTGGTCCCCTTGGGGGGGCAGGCAGGTGCCTCTGAGTGCCGCCTCTGGCACGCAAAAACCGGGGGCACAAAAATGGGCCACTGTGCTGCAAGGCGCAAAAACGGCGGCTGCCGTACCGTGGGGTGTAGATACAAGGTGCTGCACCACGCAAGAACAGGGCAGGGCTAGTGAGTATCACGCAGGCACTAGCCCTGCCCCATTTGCAGCATGTGCATGCTTGTGGCCCCATGCACGCATGTAAAATGCTTCCCCCTCCCTTTTCTTCCAGTTCACCAATCGACAATGGTTGGTGACCTCTGCTCTACCACGTCTACTCGAGTTTGCTAGTTGGCCGCTTCGCCTCCTTTATGCTGGGCAGGGCAGCCTGATGGATCTGCGGGTGGCGGCGCGTGTGCCAACAGAGAGGGCTCTGAGTGCCGCCTCGGGCACGCGTGCCATAGGTTCACCACCACTGGCTTAGAGACTCCTATCCCTTTTTGTTTTCTCTCATTCAAATTTAGACTCTACCGTCTTGCTTGCTGAAACTGAATTACCTGCAGGAATGGCAGCTTCACAGAATTAATTTGATCAAAATCCCTCACTACGTTGGTCGCTTTCAAAATCTCATGGTCCTAGATCTATCTCGAAATTCTATTGCAGAAATTCCTAGGGAGATTGGTGAGTTTCATGTCAACATTTCTCCTTGTGATTACCTCTTCAGGTTTGGTTTTGAATTAGGAAGTTCCTTAAAATTAAGGAAGTATTTAATTTTAAAACCTCTTGATTAAACAGCACAGGCTTGAAAGAAATTGAGAGCTCAGTTCTTTGAATATGTTACCTTTTTCTTTGTTTCTTTCAAAACATTTATGGTGCTTTACAGTATTAAGAGATGTTTTCACTATATTCCAGAAGGTTCCCATAATTATCTTATAAAACTGATGCAATAGTAAAACAGTGAGTCTTGAAACATTATAAACATTAAAGATTTTGACGTGCTTTTTTGTAACACAGTCCATTTTCATCAGATATTGACAAGATTATTTATTAGCAGTATCTGTATAGTCCAATCACTATTCTCTGGGTGGTGCATATCAATAAGTCAAGGAGAACAAAGGACTACTACTCTGAATAAACAATACACATAAACTATATAACAATATACATGGCTGCCACAATCATTCAACCTCAAAGGGATGTTAAAACAGAATTGTCTCACAGTCTTTTTGAAATGTTAAGAAAATTGTGGTAAGAAGTACCTCCAGAGGAACATGTTCTGGAACGTGAGGGCTGTTAGTATAACAGCTACTTTCTGGGCCACATACCATCTTTATTGAGCAGAATTTCCTGTTCTTTTTTTAACTTCCCTGGTCCTCAATTGACTCAATTTTATCTTTCAAGAAGCATGCTGTGTTGAGATATTTTTAAAAAGACATTGGGGTGAACTGGTGGGTTTGTTCAGCAAGGGATAAAGGTTGCTGACATTTGGCAACTGGAAAGAAGCAGCTGTTTCTGGAACAAAGGAGTAAATTTTTTCTCTGTTTTTATTCTGTTCTAGTCTCCTGATTTCTTCACAGTAAGTAACCTTCCTTCTGTACCTTCTATGGGTATCGAGACTAAATTTTGCAGAATTTCTTATCTCATGGCCTGAGTTTGGAAATTCTGTGTTGTAACTCTGATGCATCTGAAGGACACCAGTTGAGGACAGTTCAATTACGTATTGTATGAAATTTATAGAGCCACCCAATTTCATCAACTTAGAGTGGCTTACAATAAAACAATAAAAAAAACAGAATAAAAATGATGGAAAAAACAAACAAAAAAACCCCCTAATTAAACAAAACATCAATTGAAAACAAGCCCCATCCAAGGATGGAGAAAGAACAGGTCTCTTCAAGGCTTATTTACAGGATACCAGAGTTGAGAAAATGCAAACTTCTAATGGAATAATTATCGGGAAAAAAAGTGTTGAGTTTCTGGTAAATTATGCAGATTATTGAATATTTGTCATTGGCTGGATCAATAATATAACTAGGAAATGAAATTGGTTTCTAATATTGATTCTTGGGCAATCTGACATTTCTATGAGTGAAGTAATGTTAGCCTTCTAAAATGAGTCTTAAAAATCTGTAGAAGCTTTCTCTTAATATTCTTGATGTTTTTCCTTTCCCTCTAATTTTAACAGGTTTTTTTTGTTTAAAATGAAGTTTTTTGCAAGTGAATATTAAACCAAGGCTTTCTTTAACCTGTCTGGCTTTTTATAGGTCAATTGTCAAATCTTCAGGAGTTGATCCTCAGTTATAATAAAATTAAATTGGTTCCTAAAGAATTAGGCAACTGCGTTGGCTTAGAAAGACTGGAGCTGGCAGTAAATAGAGACATCTGTGACCTTCCCCATCAGGTTAGGAAATATCATAGTCTTCCTCCCTACGTTCATAATAACCAGATGTTTAAATGTTTTGTAGTAAATTAACAAATAAGCAGCTAATGAACATTCATTTGTTTGCTCCCCTGTATGAGTACTCTTGTTTGCCTCATCAGTCATGCAAAATATATCACTGACGTGGAAGCATCGAATGGTGATTTTTCTTCCCTGTAACATTTCAGCAGCTGCCTGTATAGCCTCACACTGAGATGTCAGTGCTGATAAATTACATCATTACCTCTGTAGTTGAATCAAGAATCTCAGAGCAATTTCATACAATAAATTAAATTTTAATGGCCTTCACCTTGCTAGTGTTTTGAATTTCTTCTCTCAGACCTTGGTTGAACGTGATGAAAAAACCCTTTTTATCTTTTTCCTTGTTCCCATCTGGGTTTGTTATTTCTGCCATCTTTATGTGTGTGTATTGTTTTCTTCTTTTAGAACAGGAGTGTCAAACTGCTGGTCCACGGGCCGGTTTCATCACACTGAAGACACGCCCACCCCATTGCCGGCAATACAAAAAGTTGCGATACGTCATGACATGTCACATGACGTGGCAAGTTTGACACCTGTGTGTCAACACTGCTAACATCAGATGTTCTTGCTTCATCTGTTGGAACCATGACACTGTGTTTTAGAAGTATTTTTAAACAATTTGTAAGCTGCCCAGAGTTGCTTGGAGGCATATAAATTTAATAATTATTATGAACTTCCAGCATATTAACAGTGCATGTATACACGAGGGTTGCCATTATAAATCAAGGTTTAGAATTGCTTCACGTGGTTCTTAGTTAATTTAAGTATACAAATTGTCCTGGAATTATTAGATGCACATAATACTGTAGTCCTTCGGAAATACCCCATTGGAAATGGAAGGTATTCTAGGTTAGACCTCACATCTGATACAAATGCAATCAGACTTAGGGCCTGTTTCATGTATCACATCAAGTCAAGGGTTTCTTTTAAACTTTGATTGGTTGAACAAGCAATCAAGAATTTTGCCATCTCATTTAAGCCTCAAACAAATCACATGCTGGCTCCAGGTTATATGTGAATTAAATGCATAATTAAGCTGTTCATTTTCTGAAACTCTATATATAATTGCATATAAGCCCATCCACGGATAAATCAACCCTTACATTTTTAACCAAAATACCATGAAAAATGTGGCAGTTGTGGATAAACCAACCTACATTATTCGTGTATTTTTGGTTAAAAATGATAGGATATCCTAATTTGCAGATGACCTTATTAACTATTATATATAGGAAATATGGATTTAAATGCTTTAAAAAGTACTACCATATATACTCAGAGATAGTCATTTGAGAATGACCTGATCCCAATTTTTTGGGTGCATTTGGGCACTTAAAATTCTCAGTTTATCTGCAATTATATACAGTGATTCCAAAGTTTTTTTTTATAAAATAAATAAAAGGAATTAGGTCTTGGTTACTCGTATGGCCACTTTCTTCCATACATATAGTCCTTGACTTATGACCATTCATTAAGTGACTAATCGAGATTAGTGATGCAGAAAAATGTGACTTACAACCCGGTCCTTGCACTTACAACTGTTGCAGCATCCTTATGGTGATGTGTGATCAGAATTTGGACATTTAGCAACTGGCCTGCATCTATGATGTCTGCAGTGCCCCTAGGCCCACATGACTGCCATTTGCTACTTTCCCAACAAACTTCCAACTATCAAAGTCAATGGGGGAAATCTATTAATCGTGCGACTCACTTGACTGCAGCAAAAAAAAAAAAAAAAAGGTCATCGAATCTGGCATGACTCCCTTAACAACTGCCCCACTTACTGATAGAAGTTCTGGTGCTGATTGTGGTCATAACTTGAGGACTACCTGTAGCTGCTGCTTATCATATGCAGCAATCCAACCAAGCTCCTAATGCCTTCAATTAAGCAAGAACACTAAATGGGACTAAAGAAACAAGGTTGCCTTTCTTTAATGCCTAATCCTTGAGAATCACATCGCTGCCCCCCTTCAAGATTTGTACAGTGCCCGCTGACAGTGACATTGCTTAGTTGAACTCTTATAACCTGGCTCTTTTCCCAGGCTTATGGCTATAGAGCTGGCAGGGCTCTTGGGGATTGTCTGATTTTGAGAGAGGGTGGTTCTTTTTCTCCAAACATTCCCTCCCCCCCCCATTTTATAGTGTATTGTGTTGCATCATGTATTGTACTGTACTCTATTCTGTTATGCTATGTACATTATATGTCATCCAAGATCGTAATGGAGTTGGGCAGTTTAAAAACAGAGTTAAACAACTGAGTAGAAGCACTCAGGAAAGATCAACTGTTTGTCCAGAGCCCACTGTGAACATTTCTGGACATAATGTACTATTTTAGTGTTTCTCAACTTAGCAACTTGAAGATGTGAGGATTTCAACTCCCAGAATTCCCCAGCCAGCCTGCACCATTTGATCTAGCTTCAATTTTGCTTTCTTAGCACTTTCAGGATCAATGCATTAATGTGTGTGTGTGGGGGGGGGAACCCACAAAAATAACATGAATCAGGTATCACTTCCCTCTCAATCCCTGAGCAAAGCGTGAAAGATGTCTTGTCAGAACGCAGAATTTCCCACTGTTCCATTATAACTGAAGCTGACATCATTCGATGAAGTGTGGTTTATCAAAATTAATCTTCACTAAGATTCTTTATTTCTTTTTTTAGCTGAGCAACTTGAAGAAGCTTTCTCACCTAGATCTGAGTATGAACCGGTTCACTACTTTCCCACTAGTCCTTCTAGATATGCCTAACTTGGAGTGGCTAGATATGGCAAGCAACAGGCTGAAAGAAATCCCTGGCAATATTGACAAGTAAATATAACAATCAGAGATGCAATTCATGTCAGTGTGATTTAATTATCAAAGATCTTGTAGTTTTATTTTCATAAGACAAAAACAAAAGGTTGTTACTTACCTAATGAAACAAATACAATACAATTCAGGCAAGCAGTTGAATTATACGTATTCTTTAACAGTCATAAAGACTTTTTAAAATATGATCTAACAATCTATTTAAGTAGATACACTGAAATGCATACCATTTGGATTCCATTCTTTTAACTGATTTCAAACAAACACAAAAATTCTCATGGAAATTGACTAATTCGAATAATTTCCATAGCGTTTTACTTTGTTGTATTGTTGAGCATTTGTTGTAAAAAAAAAAAATCTTTCAGGTAAACAGTGATTTGTTTCACAGATGGGGAACGTAAAGCTGAAAAATATAATGGTTACCAAAATTCAGAAAGTGTTCAATTTAAAACCAGCCATTCTAGGTTCAGATCTTTATCTGATGGCACTTTGTATACACTTTTAACAATGTTTGGTTCATTGCTGTTGAAATGACAGAAAATGCCTTTAGAGAAGGATGAACAGATAAATGATAGTTATTTCACTGAAGACTGCTGTTCATATTTTCCCATGAAAATCTGCAGTATTTATCATAATATCAATTAAGTTGGAACAGTTATGAAGTACTTTTAACTCCAACCAAAATAAACAGCAAGCAGAAAAAAAGTATGATTCTCTGGCAGAGAGTAGGGCTTTTAAGATTCCAAATTGCTTAAGGTTATTACACTTTTACTTTTGCACTCCAGGTCTATAGCCAAAATGAGAAATTCTACAGTAAGACAAACTATTATATATCATCTTCAACTGATGTTCTTTCTAATGAATAGACCCATTTGACTTTACAGAGCAGAAAACCTACATACTTTGTGGCTCCAAAGGAATGAAATAACTTATTTGCCTGAATCTATTTCTAACCTTAAAAATATGACCACCCTTGTTCTCACCAGCAACAAACTGCAAGATATTCCTGCATGCCTAAAGGACATGCTAAACCTAAGGTAAGGGGGGAAAAAAACACCTTAGCTGCAATTGGAAGATTAAGTGCTCTAGATAAATGTAACCAGCTTTGTTGTCCATGGCTGATGTTTTTAGTCTTCTTTTTAAATGTTCACTCAGATTCATCCCTAATAACGTGCTGAATGCATTATTAATCTCAATCTCAAATCTCCATTCTCTGCACAATATCTGAGAACTGACTTACTGTACTGTCTTATGAAGCAATTATGTTTACAGATTCCTCAGCATCTATTAGAGATCAGCTGAGAAAGGAAGGAAATCTAGAACTGTAATAGCAGACGATATTTTAAATTATCTTGTGCTTTTTACTTAGCAAGTAAAGTTTTTCAGAATTGGTTTGCCTCCTTCCTAGGGCTGAGATAAAGTGATTGGCCCAAGGTGACCAAGTTGGCTTTGTGCTTTAGACAGGATAGGAACTCATTGTCTCCTTATTTCCAGCCTGATGCCTTAAACCAGGGGTCCCCAACCTATGTTCTGTGGCTGGGACCAGGCTGCGGGCTCTTGGCCAGCGGGCTGCAGAAATGGCTGGCCGGTGCGCGCACGTATATTTTCTTCCCCACTTGTGCTAGCGTCCATGGCCCCATTTGCACATGCACGTGGACTCAATGGGGATGCTAGCGTGGGGGGGGGGTGTCCGCAGCCCGTTTGCACTGCTAGCCCAGGTGATTTGTGCGGCTCGTTCGCACATGTGCGAAAGAGCCGCTAGCTGTGGGAGGTGGGCGGCTGTTCACGCATGTGCACTGCACCAGCACAGGCCGCATGCGTGAATGGGGCTGCTAGTTCCAAGCCAATGTGTGGTGGCCCCGCGGGCACGCACACCAATTTTGAAGCTGCTCTCCTTCTCTCCGGTCCTTGAGCCTGGAAAGATTAGAGACCTTTGCCTTAAACTACTATACCAAACTGACTTTTGGGCTAAAGATACAATGAAACAAATTTCATGTGGTACAGAATTTTTGTTAACATGAAAATAATAATTCTAACTGAGCCACATTTCTTCCTCATAAGTATAACCATGAAATCAGATGCTTTTGTTTAATGTATTCATAATTTACCATCTCATCTGAACTTGATATAGTGTGGTTATCTTTAACTAGGTTTTGTTGAAACCAGCTGTGACAATCTGGAGTCTACACCTCTACCATATAATTTTTATCTCATTTTTAGTTTAAAACAAGAGCTTATTTTAAGAAATCCAGTGAGGTTTAAAAGTCAACCTGGTTAACCTAAAACAGTTTCTCATAATTCTCTGTGGAGTGAGAAAGGGGAAAAAAAAAGACTAGTTTAATGCAGAGCTAATATAGGCTCACCATTAACACTAAACCATTATTCAGTGTTCCATGTTTCTTGGGGGTTATATTACCAATATTCTTTTCTAAAAGTCAAATTATTAAGTTTGAAACAGTGACTCTAGTTTAAGGAATACCAGCTCATTAATTCCATTATATAATGTATAATAGATTTGTCAACTTCCGAGATAACCCATTAAAGCTGCAAGTGACACTTCCTCCTTGTGAGAATCCCGAAGAGGAAGAGGAGCAAGAACTTTACGGAATTCAGTTCATGCATTTATATATCCAGGAATTCCTCAACAGTGAAGGTACCACTTATTTATGTTTAAAATAAATACAGACTCAGCAAGGAGACTGCCATATTTTTCAAGAGCTGGGTTTTGCACGTTAACGTTAAACCAGTTTTTAATGAGGGTTTGTTGGACAAGCAATGGTAGCCTTCTGGATGGAAAGCAGGAAGCCAAAATAGGTAGCTTCATAGTAAACAACAACCCAACATTCTCTCTTTTAAAAAAACTCTGAATCAGACAAATGTGACCTACAATATTTTTTAAGAATTGTTAAAGGCAAACTTGTGATGCTAGAATTTCCTTGACATTGTGGCATTTTATATTGTTTAAAGGTTGAGATCCAAAATATTAAACATACCCAATCCTTGAACATTAAATTATTCTGATACGTCAACCAGAGTCCCAATGCTGTTTGCTTTAGCACTAAAATGCATGATCTTAATGTTATATGAACTGTGCCGCAATGGTCCAATAAACAAACATTTGAAACATCCTGGTTTATGTGAGATTACAGAGTAATCCTTTCCTGTTGTGCTACAAAACTAGAAAAAAAAACACCCTACCCTCTCCTCTTTAAGAGAGTTGCAGGGGCAGAGTGGGCACTGCAAGAAGAGCACAGGAAACGAGAGGAAATTCCACTAGCACAGGGGTAGGCAACCTTGGCTCTTTTATGACTCGTGGACTTCAACTCCCAGAATTCCCGAGCCAGCCACGCTGAGGGGAAAGGGAGAGGTTTCCAAGCTGAGCCATGCTGGCTCAGAAATTCTGGGAGTTGAAGTCCACGAGTCATAAAAGAGCCAAGGTTGCCTACCCCTGGTTTAGGTAAACGCCTTAATTCTTTATACTGGGGGAAAAAATAACTTTTACAAAGTTGATAGATTTCTGAAAAACGCACATTTTTTGGCACACATACTTTTTTTCTTTCAGAAAACACGGAAAGTGATATTCCAGGTGCTGCTGACACCACGGACTGAAAAACAAAAACAACACCAAGCTGATCCGGTAACTGTTACAAATTTTTGGAGCCCAGAGAAACTGAAGCTGAAATGCAGCCAGATCTGTTGTGACAAATATTTTGAGCGGTCTACTTATTATTAGTACTTTTTTTTCTGATCTAAAGAATTCTATAAACTATCCCTGGTTTGTCAAACACAATCCTGGATGTTACAAACTTACAAATCCAAACCCACCTCTCAATCTTGTATCTTGTAACATTTTTAGATTAATCCTTGCCTTTTCCCCCTGCCAAATATATTTCAAGATTATTTATTAAGCCCCTCAAAATATTTCTTATCTAATCTTATTGGTATTGTTGAAAACAAAAACAATAATCGTGGTAATATATTCATTTTGATTATCGCAATCCTTCCCATTAATGATAGTTGTACATTTTTCCATTTATCCAAATCTACTTCAGTTTGTCTTTTCAATTTATAATTATCCTCTTTAATTGTTGTGCATCTTGCTGTCAGATGGATCCCTAAATATTTTACCTTCTTTACAATCTGTATATCTAATTTTCCCACCAGTTCTTTTTTTTGTTTTGTTTTTCAGTAATATTTTTCACTAACATTTTGGTTTTATCTTTATTAATTTTCAACCCAGCTACCTCACCATATTTTTCTATTTGTTCTATTAATACAGGTCCTGTCTCTAATGGTTCCTCCAAAATAAATACTAAATCGTCTGTGAATGCTTGTAACTTATATTCTTCCCTCTTAATTTTCATCCCTTTTGTCATTATTCTGTCTTATACGTCTATTTAATACTTCTAATGTCAGAATAAACAACAGTGGAGATAGGGGACAGCCCTGTCTTGTTCCCTTCATAATGTTGATCTTCTCGATCATATCTCCATTTATCATTACTTTGGCTGATTGCTTATTATAAATTGTTCTGATTACATTTATAAATTTCTCCCCACAATCCACAGTCTGTAATTGACTTATCACGAATTGCCAGTTCACATTGTCGAATGCCTTCTGTGCGTCCAGGAACACCAATGCCATCTTTTTCTCGGGGTGTGTTTCATAATATTCTAATGTGTTCAATATAATTCGCATATTGTCTCTAATCTGTCTTTTGGGCAAGAAACCATTTTGATCCAATTGTATAAATTCATTTAAAAACTTTTTAAGTCTTTCCGCTATTATTGATGCAAATATTTTGTAGTTCACATTCAGTAGGGAAATCAGCCTGTAGTTCTTTATTTTCTGTGTTTCCGTTTCTTCCTTTGGTATGAGAGTAATAAGAGCTTCGGACCACGAATCTGGTATCTTAGCTTCAGAAAGAAGTTCATTATAAAGGTCCAACATTACATTACCTAGTACTTCCTGCAATGTCTTATATAGCTCTGCTAGTAGTGCATCCGGTCCTGGTGTTTTACCATTTTTTTGTCTGTTGATTGCTTCTATTAATTCCATCATTGTTATTTCCCCTTCCAATAGCTTTTTAAATTTCTCCGGCATTTTAGGTATCTCTTGTTTCTTCCAAAAAATGTTTTATCCTATCATCTGAAACTGTTTGTTGCTTGTATAAGTTCTCATAATATTCCCAGATTATTTTTTTCTTTTCTTCATTTCGATGTTGTAAAATCCCCTCAGCATCTTCCAATTGTTTAATCCATCTCTTCTCTTTCTCCTTTTAAATTTTATATGTCAACCATCTCCCTGGTTTGTTTGCATGCTCAAAAAAGGTTTGCTTAGCTGCCTTTATTTTCATTGCCACATCTTCATTTTCTAGTAAGTTCATTTTATGTTTGTTCAGTTCCATTAAATTTTTAATCTTTTTGTTTTGTGTATCTTTCTGTAATTCTTTCTCAAGTGTTTTATATTCTTCCTCCAGTTTTCCCTTATTTTGTCTTTTCTGTGTTCTTTTTCCCCAAATAAGTCATAGCAAGTCCTCTTATGTATGCTTCGCCGTATCCCAAACATTTTGAAGTGAAGTATCTTCTTTTTTGTTTTCATTAAAGAAGAAAAATACTTCTTTTTTCATATATTACTGAAAATCCTTTTCATTCAATATAGTTTGGTTTAATGTCCATCTTGTTCTCTTTTTTTGTCCTTTCCATATGATTGTAACTGGGTTGTGATCCGCCCATGTGCTTGTTTCTATGGCTATATTTTGTATATTTGTAAATAAATCTGTTGACATCCATGTCATATCAATTCTTGACCAGGACAGGTGTCTGTTAGAATAGAATGTATATTGCTTCTTTTCCGGATATTTCTCTCTCCAAGCATCAAGTATATTTAATTCATCCACCATATTATAGAAGGATTTAGGAAGTGTTCTTCTTAGAGTCTTATTTTTTTTTTGTATTATAATCCAGCTCAGGCTTTACAATAGCATTAAAATCTCCAATCATACATATGCTTTCATATTCCAGTTCTATTATTTTCTTATGTAATTTTAGATAAAACTTCTCTTGATTTTCATTTGGAGCATAAATCGCTACCAATAATAATTTTTTACAGTTCATAACTACTTCCACCATTAAGATTCATCCTTCTTCATCTGAATATATCAATTTAGTTTGTGTTGCTTTCTGAATATATAATGCCACACCTCTTTTACTCTGGTCCGCAAGTGAGGTGTATAACTCTCCCAATTTTGGATATTCTAATAAATTTTTATGTTGTTTCCTAATATGAACTTCTTCTAAACAAATTATGTCCATTTTTAGTTTCCCCAGTTTATTTAATGTTCTTTTCCCTTTTATGGTCGAGTTTAATCCATTTATATTTATCGAGATTATTAATTGGGAATTGTACTATCAGGCTGCAGCATTATATGGATGAGAGAATGGATCTTACTGAGGAATACAAGATTATTGACATTAGAGGGACATGATTTACAGTTGGGATGGCATGCTTTCATATGGTATGGAAAAACCAGAATACATAGCTATTTCCAGAGACACTATATAAGGAATTCTTTATTTGTGGTCTGGGAGAAAGTAAAGAGAAAGCATTATTTGAAGATTCCAAATTGGCACTCAACTATGGAGGCGCTAATACACCCCAATATGTTTAACATGGGAAACATTATAAGATATAAAGACTTACTAACAGATATGGGGGAGTTGAAAACCAAACAACAATTAGAAGAACAAGGAATAAAGATGGATTGGTACATGAGAACGCAAATACAATCTAGATATGAAAAAGATGTTAAAATAGATGGTGTTAATTTAGGGACAACAGAGTTAGATGAAATACACACAGGAACGGAAGAAAAATGGAATAAAAAAATGTACAGTTATCTACTACATATGGAGTTAGAGGAGGAACAAGTGAAAGAGACAATGATAAAATGGACAAGGAATTTTGAATACACAATTGAATTAGATAGATGGCAGCAACTATGGGAAAGAAACTATAAATTAACAATGGTGACTGTGTATAAAGAAAATATGTACAAAATGTTTTACAGATGGCACATGTCTCCAGAAAGATTAGCTAAAATGTTTAAGGACAGGTCTATGAAATGTTGGAAATGTCATCAGATACCAGGTTCCTTCTACCATATGTGGTGGACGTGTGTAGAAGCTAAAACTTATTGGAATATAATTAGAACATGGATAGAAAAGATGATACAACAATGTATAGAACTAAGACCAGAAATATTCCTGTTGGGTATTCTACCAGGGAAATACAATAAAGAGAAAACATATTTAATTATTCATATAATTACGGCAGCCAGGATTGTGTTTGCACAAAATTGGAAACCACTGAAAGCGCCCCCAGAGGGAGAGGTGATTGGGAAAATACTGGAATGTGCAGAACTGAATAGACTAACAATGACAATTAAAGATAAGACAGAGTCAGACTACTATGAAATCTGGGGAACTTTTTATGATTGGCTGAAAAGAGAATACAGTTAAAAGATAGTTAACATCAATTTAGATGGAAGAAGGAGCAGATAAGGAGGGAGACCCAGGCGACACAGTATTGAATAACTGGAGGTTGTATAAATATTTATAGAAGTATATACCGAGAAGGTTAGATAAATAGAAGTATTAATGTAAGAGAAAATTAATCTTATTGTATATAATACAGATAGGGAAATTTGGAGAGAGGAGTTGCTTGGACATTACCCCTGAACTGTTTCTGAAGAGGGATGAGAGGGAAGAAAGGAGAGGAGAGAGAAAAGAGTAAAGGAGGCGGGAAGGAAGTAGGCAGGTTGGAGGAGAAGAGGAGAAGTGGGGAGAAAGGGGAGGAGAGTGGTGAAGGAAAGAGGAGAGGAAGAAGAGAAGAAGAGAGGAAGAAGAAATCCTGGAAGCGGTGAAGCTCCTAAAACACCTTAAAGCAGTTTGTTGAAAATCACGAAGACTGAGCTGGAACAGCTGTCAGAAGAACATTTTCTAATGACACACTTGACTCTGTATAGCGTTGCAACGCAGCTTCATATCGTCTCTGCTCTAAGTATTCGATCCGACCATGATCAATCAACAATTTGCAAAGGTGCCCTATCTGCTTTCGTTCCTCAGCAGTCAGCAGCCTAGAACAAAAAGAAAAGAAAAGAAAAGAAAAAAACTTTAGAAATTAAAGGGACTAACTTCCAATACTCTGTTTCAAGCAATTCAGTGCAAGTTGTTTTTTTTCTTCCAATATAAATGAAGGATTCGTTGATTAGTATACTATTAATCAGTTGTGACACAAATATTATTTGAATAAAGACTAGTCCAACTTGACTTTCTTACTGCATACATGACAAAATATATTTTGGCAGTGATAACATTTAAGACGATATATTTCTTTCTGAAACCTATTGTTGTTAAGAGTAGAAGGAAGATCTACTGGAAGTATGCAAGAACAGTTACTTGGGCAAAAGGGGCAAAAACATTTTTTTTTAAGTCCAGAACAATGAGATGTTATTCCAGTGAAGCAGGAGGAGGTACAGTACAATCAGACTTGCAAGATTGTACTACTTTAGTAAATCTCAATAAAAGTAGTTTTAGTCTTCCTGTGCAGTTAATTTCCTAGTCTGGCCTATGTAGTGGGGCTGACAATTGTACTGAAAGTGACCTCATACCTTTGAAGACTATCCAAACTGCAGTCAGCATTTATATCATCCTGATCATGTTCACCTTCGTTTCTTTGTCCTTCATT